AGCTCCTGTAGCAAGTTTATTCTTTTTTAAGGTCTAAAAAAAGATTTATTTTATTTTTAATTTTGTATATTTGTCTGTGTAAGTGTATGCCATATGTCTGCAGGTGCTCTCAGAGACCAGCTGGATTTACAGGCAGTTGTGAGCTAGGAACTGATTTTGGGTTATCTAGATGAGCACTGAGTACTCTTAACAGCCATTTTAAGAGCAAGTGCTCTTAACTGCTGAGCCATTTCTCCAGCCCTGCAAATTTATTGCTATTTTATTACTTATAATAATAATATAATATTTAAGCATTATTTATTATATGTATTGCTATTTTATGAATGGATTTTAAAAATCATTTACATTTTCCCATAACTATTATTGAGAAAAAAAATGCTCTTCTAGCCAGGCGATGGTGGTGTATACCTTTAATCCCAGCACTTAGGAGGCAGAGGCAGGAGGATTTCTGTGAGTTTGAAGCCAGCCTGATCTACAGAGGGAGTTCTAGGACAGCCAGGGCTACATTGAGAAACCCTGTTTGGAAAAACAAAAAAACAAAATAACAACAACAAAACATGCTCTTCTAATATTATCTTATATCAGTTCTTTATCAGTATAAATTAGGAGTCCTAGTAGCCTTTCAGCAGAGCCTGCTAGATAATCCCAGCACTAAAAAGGCAAATGCAGGAGGATCACCACAAGTTCTAGGCCTGCTTGGTTTACATTAGTGAGTTCTAGGCCAGCCAGGGCTATGTATTAAAGACCCTGTCCAAAAGGAAAAAGAAAAAAGTCATGGAGCTAGAGAGGTTCAGCCATTAAAAGCACTTGATGCTCATGCAGAGGACCTGGGTTTGGTTCCCAGCATCTACATGCAGCTCACAGGAGTTCTGATGCCCTATTCTAGCCTCTGTGGGCACTGTACACATATGTACATGCGTACATGCAAATAAATACTCATACACATAAACTAAAAATAAAGATCATATCATTGTCAAAGAAAGCTACAATTATAATTTCTTCTCAATATTTACTCTGATCATATCATATAGAATTTACAAAACAATGTTGAGTTCTAGTGGACATCTCTTTTTTTTTGTAGGTGGGCTTTCTCTGTCCCACCAGTCAGTTCTGTCCTGCCAGTTGGCTCCCCAAATAACCACACAGAGACTTGTTATTAATTATAAATACTTGGCCAATAGCTTAGGCTTGTTACTAACTGGGTCTTTCAACTTAAATTAACAATTAACCCACATTTTCTTTTTTTTTTCTTTTCTTTTCTTTTTTTTTTTGGTTTTTCGAGACAGGGTTTCTCTGTGTAGCTTTGCGCCTTTTCCTGGAACTCACTTGGTAGCCCAGGCTGGCCTTGAACTCACAGAGATCCGCCTGTCTCTGCCTCCCGAGTGCTGGGATTAAAGGTGTGCGCCACCACCGCCCGGCGTAACCCACATTTTCTACACATGGCAGTACCTTTTTTTAGTACAGCATGTTCATCTCCTGCTTTCTCTGCATCTGACTGGTGACCCACATTTCTTCTTCCCAGTGTTCTCCCAGTTTGGCTTTCCTGACTAATCTCTATCTGCCTAGCTATTGGCCAGTTAGCCCTTTATTAAACCAGTGAGAGCAATACACATTCAGAGTGTACAAAAGGATTATTCCACAGCATTTTTTATTTGTTGTTTTTTGAGACATGGTCTGATTATACAGACCTGATTCATCTCGAATTTGCTATGTGGATCAGCTGGTCTCAAACACATGGAAATCTGCCTGTCTCTGCCTTCTGAGAGCTGGGATTAAAGACATGTATCTCCAGCCGGGCGGTGGTGCACACGCCTTTAAACCCAGCACTCAGGAGGCAGAGCCAGATGGATCTCTGTGAGTTTGAGGCCAGCCTGGTCTACAGAGCAAGATCCAGGACAGGCACCAAAACTACACAGAGAAACCTTGTCTTGAAAACAAAAACAAAGCAAAAAACAAAAACAAAAGATATGTGCCACCATTCCTGGCCTGGTCATTAGTTTGTCAACTAACTAGTTAATGAATTGCAGTGCTGGGGATAAAACCCAGGGCCTTATGTGTAATAAAATAATGCTGTGCTATATTGAACTACATTGCAGCTCATTAAAAAAACAAAATAAAAAACTTCTTTAATTGTGTAAGTCCATCCACTTTAGAAGTTTATTCTTTTATTTGTTTTGTTTTTTTCTTTTTCGAGACAGGGTTTCTCTGTGTAGCTTTGCGCCTTTTCCTGGAACTCACTTGGTAGCCCAGGCTGGCCTTGAACTCACAGAGATCCGCCTGGCTCTGCCTCCCAGTGCTGGGATTAAAGGCGTGCGCCACCACCGCCCGGCCTTATTCTTTTTTTTAAGTGTGTGTGTGTGTGTGTGTGTGTGTGTGTGTGTGTGTGTGTGTGTGTGTGTTTGTGTGTATTGTTAGGAATTGAATCCAGGGCCTCATGCTACTGACCTATATCTTCAACCCTATTTACTAATTACTAACAGTAGCTTCATCATTCTGCTTTTCGGGCAATGTTTCATAAGTAATTTTTGCTTCATATGAGTTACTTAGCTTTTACCTGATTTTAGTTGAAATTTTTAAAGATTTATTTACTTATTATGTATACAGTGTTTTGCTTGCACACCAGAAGAGAGCGCCAGGTCTCATTATAGATGGTTGTGAGCCACCATGTGATTGCAAGGAATTGAACTTAGGACCTCTTAACTAATGAGCCATCTCTCCAGCCCTTTGTTTGTTTTTTTAAGACAGTGTTTCACTATGTAGATCCGGCTGCTCTGGAACTCACTATGTAGATCAAGCTGGCCTTGAATTCACAGAGATCTATCTGCCTGCCTCTCCCACCCTAGTGCTGGGATTAAAGGCAGGCACTACCATGCCCGGCTTAGTTTGAACTTTTATTAGTAGTAATGGTTGCTGAATTGTATAAGATGTTTTATTTTTATTTATGTTTTTTTGAGACATGGTTTCTCTGTGTAGTTTTGGTGTCTGTCCTGGAACTCACTCTGTAGACCAGGCTGGCCTCGAACTCACAGAGATCCACCTGGCTCTGCCTCCCAAGTGCTGGGACTTAAGGCATGCGCCACCACCGCCTGGCTTCCTGCTAGATCTTATAACTTAATTTAATCTGTTTCTCTTCACCTGTATTTTGTCTCAGGGCTTTTTACTTTTCTTTCATTCTGTATGCCCTACTCTGTGTCTGTCTGTCTGGCAGCTGCTTGGCTGGCCGGCCCCGGCATCACTCTCTCTTTCTCCCTCATTCTCTCTCCCTTCACTTCTCTTCTTCCTCCTACTTATTTTGTCTGCTGCCAGCCCCACTTATCCCTCTACTGCCTAGCTATTGACCAATCAGCTTTTTATTAGACCAATCAGGTGCCTTAGGCAGGCAGAGTAAAACAGCAACGCATCTTTACATAATTAAACAAATGCAGCATAAACAAAAGTAACACACCTTTACATAATGAAAGTGATATTCCACAACATAAACAAATGTAACACATCTTTACATAGTTAAAGTAATATTCCACATTTCCTCCTTTTTGTCTAAATAAAAGGGAAGAGTTTTAACTTTAACATAGTAAAACTATAACAATGAGAACAATTATCAATAAGAATTATATTTACAATATCTAGTTCATTTGCATTTGTCAAATTCAGAGAAAATACTCTGTTATCTGTTCTATCTTAGTGAGTCCTAAGTTTTGTACCTAATTTATCTTCTATCGTAACTAAGGAAAACTGTAGCTATAACTATCTAGTCTTCAACTCCATCAAAGACTCCAGAAGGATATAATATTACCTGACTAAACAGAAAACACAGATCAAGCAACTTCCAAAACCATAGAAATGATAGAGACATCTGGCTGCCTGGACATTCTAAGTTTCCTCTGCAACACTGAGGCACCCATCTTCAACCTACATGCCTAGAATATCTTGTAGACTTTTCTATGAAGAAGGAATTTTGAAGGACTGTCCCTGCCTTGTCTTAGCAAACTTTGGCAGTCTTTTTCCTTTGTGTCCTGCAGAATATCTGACAGACTTCTCTATGAAGCAGGAATTTTGAAGGACTGTCCTGCCTTGTCTTGGCAGAGTTTGGCAGTCACTTTTCTTTGTGTCCTGCATGTCCAGTTTGGACAGTATACCATTGTAATTTTTTTGTTTACTCTTTGATCTTTGGGGTCTGCCATCCAGTTCCAAAATAAATACATGGAGACTTATTCTTTCTTATGAAGAATAAGAAAAATACCCTCTTAGTCAAGAGTAGTTTGCCTTATCTAGGCCCTTCAATTGGAATGATGGTCTCTTCTTTTTGGGACCCCCTGTCTCAGGAAAAAAAATACTGGGTTCACATGAGTAAAGTCTCTGAAAAGACACCTGAGTTGCTTCTAGCTGCAGCTGACAGCCTGGCTGGGTCAGGGCAGGGGCAGCTCCTAATGGATGCACCAGAGAATAATGGGCTCAGCTCATTCTGTTGAGTGTGAATATTGTAATCCACCCACAGTAAATCTCAGTTGGTGGTGTTTAGCTCTGTGAGGTCAGTGTGTGAAATGACATGGTGTGGTGGTTTGGGTGAGAATGGCCCCCAGAGGCACATATATTTGAATGTTTGGTCCCCAATTGAGGTATGGCCTTGCTGGAATAGGTATGGTCTTGTTGGAGGAGGTTGTGTCACTGGGGGTGGGCTTTGAGGGTTCCACACCAGGTCCAACTTCTGGTTCTGTAGGCAACTTTCAGATCAGTGTGAGCTTTCATCTACTGCTCAAGTGCTGTACCAGCCTGCTGCCATGCTCCCCACCAAGATGATCATAGACTAGCCCTCTGAAACTGTAAGCAAGCCTCAGTTAAATGCTTTACTCTATGAGTTGCCTTGGTCATGATGTGTCCTTACAGCAATAGAACAGTAACTAAGACACATGGATGGTGTTGTTTTAGGGTTTCTTTCTTCTGTCTCTGTAGACTCATTGAACTTTACAACTTACTAGAGGCTTGCAGAATCTTCTGCACTCTTCAGCTCTTCAGCTTTGGAAGTAGGGGCTGAGGTCCTGGGTGAACATGTCAGCGAATGAGAAATCACCCCAGAGATTTCCTGCCTTGATTTCAGAAGAACCCAGCAGATCAGCTGAGGTAAGAAGTATCCCCCCCTCCCGCACCATTTGTTTTTTTATTTTATTCTTTTTCTTCTTTTTCAATGCTGGGGGTGAAGCCCAGGGCTATAGGCAGGTTCCAGAAATGCTCTACAACCCTGCTGCATTCTTGGGCTTGTTGTTTCTTTAGCTATTTTTTGTTTTGTTTTGTTTTTTGAGACAGGGTTTCTCTGTGTAACAGTCCTGGCTGTCCTGAAACTTACTCTATAGGCCAGACTGGCCTCGAACTTACCAAGATCCACCTGCTTCTGCCTTCCAAGTGCTGGGATTAAAGGCATGCGCTGCCGCCGCCGCAGCAGCCACCACCACCTGGCTTGTTTTGTTTTCAAGTAGAGCTCTGTTGTAGGATATTAGTACACTATGTAAAGATGTATTGCTGTGATTGGTGTAAAAAAAACTGAATGGCCAATAGCTAGGCAGAAGGTGTAAGTGGGACTTCCAGGCAGAGAGAGAACTCTGGGAAGAAGAAAGGTAGAGTTGCCAGACGGACACAGAGGAAGCAGGGTGGGAAGTATGGAGATGAGGTAATGAGCCACGAGGAAGAACGTAAATTAAAAAAAATATGGGTTAAGTTATAAGAACTAGTCAGGAACAGGACTAAGCCAAAGCCGAGCTTTCATAATTAATAAAAAGTCTCCATGTAATTATTTGCAGGCTGGCAGTCCCAACAAAAAAGTACCACTACATTTATCACTCCAACATGGGGCATGACCACACAGACAGAGAAGTCACGCCAGCAGGCACCACTGCAGTCGCCACCTGGGCCTCTCTGTGAGCACTCACAACAGTTGGTTGCCACTCATGGGGACTCAGGAAAGTGGGCTCAGCAACTTCCCAGAACTTTGGTGGTAAATGTGGCTCCTGCTGGTACCCACTTGCATGAGACTAGGCTCCTAGGGAACTGAGGGGAGTGAAGCCAGCTACCAGAGGTGCACAGTGGAAGCCCTAGCTGCCACCTAACAGTTTAAGATTTGTCTCATGTGGTCAAAAAATGTGTCAGGCACTTACTAAAGCCAGGTCCAGACATAGAAATCCTCTAAAAAGGTACAGTATACTTAAAAAAGGTACTTAGGTGCTGAAGAAAGAAAAGAAAATGGGTATAAACAGTCATAAAAAATAAATATTTTAAAAATAAAAAAGTAAAGTCTTTAAAGAGAGAGTAAAGTAATATATGTAAAAAAAAAGCCACATAAGGATGGGAAATACCATAACATAGGGCATGTGGATCATATACAGTGCTTTGTTAACTTTAAATATTTTAAATGCTAATAAGCAAAAAAGACAGCTACTGAGAGACATTGGATTGTGAAAAGAGCTGCCAAATTAAACCAGCCTGTATATTTTGGGGATGTTTTAACTTTAATATGGAGGTCAGAAAATACGTTGTGTTGGGGGAGAGGTTTTGCTTTTGTTTTCACAGGAAACAAAAAGCTATGGATTTCTTCAAAGTTAATAAAGATCCGATTTGATTAGGAAAGACCTTCTGAGGATCTTAGCTGCAGACATAAGGGAGGAAGGCAGAAAAGACTATAGGACAGGTGACATGTATGCTGATCTCTGCATGGGAATAGCTCTGAGACTGGATGAGACATGATAAATCTTGTTAGCTACAGAGTCCTCATGACTTATTATTACATGCCACTCTTTCAAATGGCATGGATAGAGAGTTATATTACAGTTTGGTTATGCAGTTGAAATGGACTTATAAAGTTGACAGATGCCTTTTACCTGCCCAAACATAGAACAAAAAATCATCTTTAGCTGACTTGTACACACTGCTCATTCTATACTTGTGTTAATACAGATATATATGTTACCTTTAAAAGTTTGTGTATTTTCAGAAAAAGAAATGACCAGACACCAATAAAGACAAATAGCCCAGGTGATCCAGCCCCTTAGAATGTCTCTGTTGAAGTTTCCTCAAAATTCTGCATCTAGAACAACTTCAAAGCTGCTAGCTGGGAGGGTTCAGCCTCACAGACTACTCTAGCTAGGACTTCAGATAAGCCCTGTACTTTTTCATTGCACAGAGACTGCACAACAAATGTTACATCTAGTTTTCCCAGGACTTGACCATTATCTCAATTTTCTCAGGGTTCCCTAAAGATGCCAATGCCCCCAGGCAACAGGAAGTAATTTAAAGAACATGATGCCCACATTCCCAAGAGGTGGGATAGGTGGGTTTGGTCATTCTGTGGGTTATGGATGTTTGTCATCATTTAGGGGGGTTGGTTGCAAATTGTTACTGGTCATGGTAAGAGAGTAAACTAAGCAAGGAAGGTTAGATTCCTTTTTTTTTTTTTATTTTTGAGACAGGGTTTCTCTGTGTAGCTTTGGAGCCTGTCCTAGAACTCACTCTGTAGAACAGTTTGGCCTCGAACTCACAGAGATTTGCCTGCCTCTGCCTCCCAAATGCTGGAATTAAAGGTGTGCACCACCTCCACCCAATGAAGAGGTTAGATTCAATGATCTCTTTCAGAAAAAAAATGGGGATATAGAAATTATAGAATTAAAGGGTAGATTATTGAATCTACTTTTAAACTAAAAAAAAAGCAACTGTTAATTTGAAATATTTTATATTGGTATAAATTTTTGTGTATTTATGCAAATTTAAGGGTGTTAGAACACATTCTATATATATGTTTCTTCTCTTGTTTAAGGTATTGTACCTATACAGCTCATTTAAAAATGTGATGTAAAGTTCTAGTCTTTGGAAGCTATTTAGGATAATAAAGAAACATAGGGGCTGGAGAGATGGCTCAGAGGTTCAGAGCACTGACTGCTTTTCCAGAGGTCCTGAGTTCAATTCCCAGCAACCACATGGTGGCTCACAACCACCTGTAATGAGATCTGGTGCCCTCTTCTGGCCTACAGTCATATATGCTGTATACATAATAAATAAATAAATATTTAAAAAAAAGAAACATAGGTTAGTAGTTAGTCATCCATAACAATCAAACTTATAGTTATGTTAGGCATGCTTTCAAGGTCAAACAGATATATTTTACATAGATAGATGGTCTTCAAACCTACAGAATATAGCATTTAAGATGTTTTAATAACATAAGGCTTTTCATGACAATGAGACACTGCTCCTGGCAGCACCAATTTACTTCAAAAAATGGATGATGGACATTGAAGAAATTCTGTATGGAATTTGCTTTCTTTGTGACAAAGTTAGTCACTGGGCAAGAAACTGCCCTTGCCTTGACTGCTGACAGTATGCTGTCCAAATTCAACAAGCAAGACACAAAAGAAGGCAACTGCCAAACTTTGCCAAGACAAGGTAGGACAGTTCTTCAAAATTCCTGCTTCATAGAAAAGTCTGTCAGATATTTGATGCCTTTAGGTCGAAGATGGATGCCCCAATGTTGCAGAGGAAACTTGAATGACTGTCTAGGCAGCCAACTGTTTCTGTCATTTTTTACAATTTTTGGAAGTCATTTGTTTGCACTTCCTGTTTACTCAGGTAATATTATATCCTTCTCAGGTCTCTGATGGTGTTGAAGATGAGATAGTTATAGTTATAGCTTTCCTTGTTAACCAAATTCAGAAAAAAAAACTCACAAGAGATGTAAAGTGTATAAGATTGAGAGACATGCCGGGTGGTGGTGACACACTCCTTTAATCCCAGCACATGGGAGGCAGAGCCAGGCAGATCTCTATGAGTTCGAGGCCAGCCTGGGCTACAGAGCAAGATCCAGGACAGGCTCCAAAGCTACACAGAGAAACCCTGTCTTGAAAAACAAAAACAAACAAACAAAAAAAGATTGAGAGACATAAAAGCTAAAGTTGTTTAAGAAAATGTTATAATGTCTAAAAGGATATTTTAAGGCTGGTAATATAAGATATGATAGAACGTGAATTAGATACAAAACTTTGGACTCACCAAGATAGGATAGATAATGGAGTATTTTCTTTGAATTTGCCAAATGCAAATGGACTGGACATTGTGAATGTAATTCTTACCTGATAATTGTTCTTATTGTATATAGTTTTACTATGTTAGAGTTAAAACCTTTCCTTTTTATTTAGACAAAGGGGGAATGTTGTGGGATATTTGTACACTGTGTGAAAATGTGTTGCTGTTATTGGTGTAATAAAAAGCTGAACAGCTAATAGCTAGGCAGGAGATATAGGAGGGACTTCCAGGCAGAGAGAGAACTCTGGAAAGAAGAAAGGTGGAGTTGCCAGCAGACACAGAGAGGAAACAGGAAGTGCAAGATGAAAGAGAGATAACACCATGTGACAGAATGAAGACTAATATAAATGGGTTAATTTAAGTTGTAAGAGTTAGTTGAGACAAGCCTAAGCTAAAGGCCACCCTGTCATAATTAATAATAAGTTTCTGGGTCATTATTTGTGGGCTGGCGGTCCAAAGATAGTCCAACAAAAAAGCTTGCTAAGAGCTCAGCACAGATTTATTAAAGAAAAGTGAAAAAGAACTCCCAAGGGTGGGAGGGGATACAATGGAGAATACTCTGTTTGGGGTTTTTGAGACAGGATCTTGCTATGTAGCCTTGGCTGGCCTTGAACTCATGGCATTCCTCTTGCCTCAGTCTCCAACGTGCTGGAATCACAAGTGTGTGCCACCATATCTGGGTATGTGTTTCTTTCGAAGTAATTATAGATTCAGTTGCAGTGTGTGGTTTACTCAGTTTCTCCTAGTAGTAATCCTGTGAAACCTTTGTCGATCATTTCTTGGATTCTCACATACAGAACATTTCCATGGCCACAAGGATCTCTCCTTTTTTTTCCCATGCTGGGGGAAGGAATCTATGTGAAGTTTATGCAAATACTCTATTACTGAACTGCACTTGTGTCTCTTATTTTATCTTTGAAAGCCAAGACCACTGGGTGGTGGTGGTGCACACCTATAATCCTAGCTCTCGGGAGGCAGAGGCAGGTGGATCTCCATGAGTTTGTGGCCATCCTGGTCTACAAAGTGAGTTCCAGGACAGGCACAGCGGGTACACAGAGAAACCCTGTCTTGAGAAACTAAAAAAAGAAAAAAAAGGGTGTATATATGTGTGTGTGTGTGTATATATATATATATATATATATATATACAATAAAATATTTATCTATTTATTTTAAAAAAAGCCAAGACTACTTCCTTTCTGTCTCTTAACCCCTGACAACCATTAATATGTTCTCTAATACAGTACAGATGCATTTTTTCAAGAATGTTATATAATCAGATCATGCACTATGTGCTTTTTGGGGATTCACTCTTTTCGCTCTGAATAATTCTCTATAACTTCATACAGATTGCTGTATGTGACACAGTAGATTGTTCATTCTTTTTTTTTTTTTTTTTTGGTTTTTCAAGACAGGGTTTCTCTGTGTAGCTTTGCACCTTTCCTGGATCTCATTCTGTAGACCAGGCTGGCCTCCAACTCACAAAGGCATGCGCTACCGCCACTGGGTGTTCATTCTTATTCCATGGTGTGGATAGAACACATTTGAGCCATTCATTGGTTAAAGAACATCTTAGTTGTTTCTGTTGTACACTGCAAGGGAACAGTAGACTACTTGAGCTAGAGTACCGAGGAGACATAAAAGGAATATACCAGCCAGGCGGTGATGGCGCACCCCTTTAATCCCAGCACTCGGGAGGCAGAGCCAGGCGGATCTCTGTGAGTTTGAGGCCAGCCTGGGCTACAGAGTGAGTTCCAGGGAAGGCGAAAAGATACACAGAGAAACCCTGTCTCGAAAAACCAAAAGAAAAAGAAAAAAAGAAAAAAGGAATATACCTATTATTTGCAGTAAAGTGGGTGGAACTGAAGGACATTATGTTAAGTAAATAAGCCAGATGTAGGAATTCTACATATTCTCTTACATGTGGATGTTATAAAGGTTAATTGGAATGTACAATAATGATTAATAGAGGCTGGGAAAGGTAGAGAGAAGAGTATGTACAATGGAAGATAACATAGCCAGTACCCAAACACAATTAGATGGTAATCTTTCTTTAAAATTTTTTTGCAGTTCTCAAACTTAATATTTAGCTGAGGACAACTTTGGACTTCTAATTTTCTTGTCTCTGCCTCCCGAGGATTACAGATATGTTAGGATTACAGATATGCATCACCACACCTAGTTTTATGGAGCACTGGGGATAGAACCCATGGCTTTGTGCATTTAAACAAGCCACATCCTAGACCCATAGCATACTTTTCTTGTCATACTGTAGTGTATGTAGTTTGATGAATTCACATTCTGTGTTCAAACCTTCCTGTCTTGTGATCTAACTCCATAGTCCCCAGGGTATTATTATTGTTTTGAGATAGGGTCTCTATGTAGTTGAGACTGGCCTTGAACTCTTGATCCTTTTGCTTCTACCTTACAAGTGGTGGAATTTAGTCTAATAATTAGTAAGTTAACATGGTGCCAGAGCTTTTCAGGGTTCCTCTCTATTGTACAGTATCAAGTAAGACATGGACCAAGGTATCCAGCATGGCTCTTTCCATTCAGCTCCCAGTGGGGCTGCACTGAGAAGATTAGTACCTATGTGTTCTCCATAACATGCCCCTGCTCTGATCACTGTAGACTGTCATTACAGGGATCTGTGTCATTTGAGGATGTGGCTGTGGATTTTACCCAACAAGAGTGGCACAGACTGGACTCTACCCAGAGGAACATGCACAAGGATGTGATGCTGGAGACCTACAGTCACTTGGCATCTGTGGGTGAGGATGAGTGTGTCTGGGTAATCCCTGGGAGCATATGGTTCCTGTCATGTATGCCACCACTGCAGTTTAGTGATATATTAGTTTTAGATTTAAGAGTTACAGCTAAATGATCAGTTTAGGGCTCCAGGAAGAATGTGTTCTCATGTCCCCAAATGTAAGGTTTAAATGGGCCCCTTCCTTGTGCAGCTCATGAAAGATGTACCTTCCTCCTCCATCAGATGCCCTAAAAGCTCAAACTTCTTGGCCCATGTCCTGTGCCATTTCCCATTAACAGGCCTCTGCGTGGCCAAACCAGACATGATCTTTAAGTTGGAGAGGGGAGAAGAACTGTGGATATTAGAAGAGGAATCTTCAGGCCGTGATTACTCAGGTGAGTGAGCAAGAACCAGAAACACTGAACACATGGGAAGCCAGACCCTAGGAATTTAGGTCAAAGGGCATCCTTATGTAATATTTTCAGGGATCATTTTAGAGCCTTGGGCTCTTTGAAATAAGGACAGAAAGTTTACATGCTTCAGTAAATTAAATTACTAAACGAAATTATCTGCCCCAATATTATGCTCACATCTTAGTACTAATGTATTTTGATGTTTATAATGTTATCTGTTGCACTTAATGATCTCAGCCTCATGTTAGAAATTTATTCTTCCATTTCTTATATTTTTGGTTGTGAGCCTGGCGTTTAATGGCTGAGCCATCTCTCCAGCCCTATTTTTCCATTTCTTAATAGCTGTTGATGTCAGGCATCTGTTCATATATTCACTTAATTATCTACCAAAACTTAAAGGACTGTCAAATGTGTACTGGTCACATTCTAGGTACTGGGGTCCAGCAGTTAATAAATAATATCTCTGTTCTCTTGGAGCTTGCAATCTCGTGAGGGAAGGCATCCAGAAACAAACAAATATGTAGTGTTTTGGTGTTTTGGATGATGAAAAGAAAAGCAGTCCAAATTAAGATAGACAGCCATTGATGTGCACTTTTAGGGACTATATCCATGGAAAGGTTTTTGGTGAGGTCAACATTAGTGTACAAATGTCAGTGAAGTGAGAGACAGAGCTATGTAGATTTGGTGTGTTCTAGGCAGAAAATTGTGAATGTTGATCCTTACCTGAGAAATGTATCCTGGGACTAGTGAAGAGGTCTGTGAATTAGCAAGGGGGCAAATTGTAGGTGGATTTTTTTCTTTCCTTTTCTTTTTTTTTTCTTTTTTTGTTTTTCTGAGACAGGTCTCACCGTACAGCCCAAGTTGTCCTGAAACTTGTGATTCTCCTGCTTCAGTCTCCCAATTACTGAGATTACTGGTTTGAATTACTGTGTCTAGCTGCAAATTATAGCATTATAAGACTATGTTAGGTATTTTATATTATGACAGGGGAAGCCATTTGGGGATTTTACATGAATGAATGACACACATCTTGTTTTTAAAGGACCTCTGTCTCTGCTATGTGGCAACAGTTCAATTGGGGGTAATGCCCTTGTGCTGGAGAACAACATTTTTCAGTATCAGAGTATTCAAACTTTGAATCAAAATGTTGATTATAACAGATGTGAGGAAGACTTCCATGAAGAAATAGGTTTTGTTCAACATAAAAGGACTCATACCAGAGATAAAAACTTTGAATGTCATGAATGTGGAAAAGTATACTGCAGGAAATCTAACCTTGTTGAACATCTGAGAACACATACAGGGGAGAGGCCCTATGAGTGTGGTGAATGTACAAAGACTTTCAGTGCAAGGTCATACCTCATTGCTCATCAGAAAACTCACACGGGAGAAAAGCCCTTTGAATGTCATGAATGTAGAAAATCTTTTGGCAGGAAGTCACAACTCATTCTACATTGCAGAACACACACAGGAGAGAGACCCTATGAATGTACTGAATGTGGGAAAACCTTTTCTGAGAAGGCAACCCTCACAATCCACCAGAGAACCCACACTGGTGAGAGGCCTTATAAATGCAATGAGTGTGGTAAGACATTTCGTGTCAAGATATCTCTCACCCAGCACCTGAGAACTCACACAGGGGAGAAACCCTATGAATGTGGGGACTGTGGGAAAAACTTCCGAGCAAAGAAATCCCTAAACCAACATCAAAGAATTCACACAGGTGAGAAACCCTATGAGTGTGGACAATGTGGGAAATTCTTCCGAATGAAAATGACTCTAAATAATCATCAAAGAACTCACACAGGTGAAAAACCCTATCATTGTAATGAATGTGGGAAAGCCTTCAGGGTACACTCATCTCTGGGAATCCATCAGAGAATCCATACCGGAGAGAAGCCCTATGAATGTAATAAATGTGGAAATGCTTTCTATGTGAAAGCTCGTCTCATTGAGCATCAGCGTATTCATTCAGGAGAGAAACCATATGAATGTGGTGACTGTGGGAAGATCTTTAGCATGAAGAAATCCCTTCGTCAGCACAAGAGGACTCACACTGGTGAGAAGCCTTATGAATGTAGTGAGTGTGGAAATGCTTTTTATGTGAAAGTGCGCCTCATTGAGCATCAGAGAATTCACACAGGAGAGAGGCCTTTTGAATGTCAGGAATGTGGAAAGGGCTTCTGTCGGAAAGCCCACCTCACAGAACATCAGAGAACTCACTTGGGCCGATCCTTGCTTTGTGCATTGGAGAAAGCTTCTCTTTGAAGAGTCCCTCACTCCCAACACTGGATCAAGCCCCTAGGGGCATCTAATCAAGCAGAACATGCAAAGCACATTTGCCACTGTGTGGTACTTAGACTGGTATAAAAATTTGTCTGATCCCTTTAGAGAATAGCTCATTATTGCTTGCTTTTTTTTTTTGAGACACTTTGTAGCCCAAGCTGGCCTTGAACTTTTGCCATAGTCTTCTGAGTGCTTTGACAACAGGTAGGCAAAACAGTCTGTCTGGCTTTTTTTCATTTGTATTTCTCAATTTAGTGATGAAGTTGAACATATTGTGTGATGATTAGCCATTTAAATATTTTTTTAAATCTGTACTGATTGCTTATATCCTTTGTTCACTGTTTCCTAATGAGAACTTTATCTTTTACTCTCTGGTTTAAATGTTGTTGTTGGTGTTGTTTAACATGTAAGCATATAAAGTCCTCATTCATGTGTTAAAATATCTTCTCTCAGATTACTCAGCTGGTTTTTCAATTTTGTTAACTCTTTTCTTGCACTAAAGTTTTATGTTTAAGCTATTGTCTGTTTTAAGGTGGTAATATTTATGTATACTTCCTCAAACATTTAAAATTTGAATCTACTGTGAGATTTTTTTGATATAGTATGGAGCCTGCAATGTATAATACTATATTGTCTTGTTAATTTTTTACAGAAATGGTGTCACATTGTAGTTAAATGCTTAGCAGTTGGCTTGTTTTCAATTGACATTACCTTCCTAAGATCTGTCCCTGTTGGTAACTTTAGGTCTTGTGCCAGTTATTAAGCTATTCTGTTCTTACTGTAAGTCCACCGTTCTAGAATGTGCTTTGTTACTCTGAAACATATTCTGCCTTGTCAGCTGCTACCTGTTGGAACTTGGCTAAAAAGATTCTGGATACAGCCAGGCTGTGGTGGCACATGCCTTTAACCCCAGCACTCAGGAGGCAGTAGATCTCTGAGTTTGAGGCCATGCTGGTCTACAAAGCCTAGGACAGCCAGGGCTACATGAAGAAACCCTGTCTTGGATAAAAAAAAAGGAAAAAGGAAAAAAAAGATACTAGATATATACTTTGGGCTAAAGACAAAGGGACTTGATCTTTTCCCCTTCCCATGAGCTCCTTGTTCATCCAAATGTTTTCCCAGAATCTCTTCTACACAGGGACAGAGGAGTTCCTGTTGGCAGTACATCGGATGCTCAACTCTGAAAGAACCAGCCTTGTGGTATTGCATCTTCTTGAGATAAGCATCAGCTGGATGATGTCACCACCTTAAACTGTGAGCCCTAGCTATGTAGGACCCCTCCCATACCCTTCTAATTATTATTTTTAATTAAAGATAGGGTCTCATTTTATAGCACAGGCTGGCTTAGAACTCAGGATCATCCTGTAGCTATCTCCCTTCCAAGTCTTGGTATCACAAGCATGTTCCTTCTACTTTTAAATAATTCTGATTTCATCCTTTGTTACTGATAATGGATGCTAGGCAGAAAGAGAAAGGATCCTCTGCAGCATCTACTTCCGGGAACCATTTCAGACATAAGAACATGTTAGCTGCCTCTGATAAAAATGGCCTGGTCAGTGGTCAATAATAGCCTGATAGATAAGGAATCTAAAGCATTTGTTGTTTTGAGACAGGGTCTCACTATGTAGCTCTGGCTGGTCTGGAACTCATGATATAGACCAGGCTGTACTTAAGCTCAGAGACTATAATAGAAAAATCTCTAAGGTATTTGTCATTAATTTTCAGGCATTGGCTTTCCATGTTTATAAAAAAAAATCAACTAGCACTGGCCTTTCAATGAGGGATAACAGTCCATAAGCTGCTTGTAATGAATTGCAATGTTAAAGATGAACCAGTGACAGGCAGGGGCTCTAAACTGTTCCAAAGCTAATGAAATCAAAGTGTAATCAGACAGCAATAGATATTAGTTATTGCTTCTTTGGCCCAAACTAACAAAACTAGAAGGTAAACTGGCAAAATACATGTAGTTATTATTATTATTTTAGAAATACCGTGAATTCTAGGTCACCCAAAGCAACTCTTAGCTGACTATAAGGTTAACCCAAGTGATATTAAGGTTAAACATTTCCTCCATGGTTGGCCCCAAAGGGTAGAGCTCTGCCTTCATGCCCAAGGCTCATGTCACCTTGAAAAGATGACTGTTTTGTGCCCCTTCAATAAAAACTACAAAGAACAAAGGGTTGCTGGGCAGTTTGGCCCTTCAATTTGCTGCCTTGGTTTCCATGTATTTAAAAAGACATTAGAGACTGGTAAAGGAAATGGATTTATTAAATGTTTGAGCAAATCCCATAGCAAGAAAGACTCCTAGTTTCCTTCCACCCTTCCTGTAGCATCACTGTAGTTTTGTAGAAGAAATGAAAGAAAAGCCAGAAACTGCGTATGTTAACCGAGATAAGCTGTCAAAACAATAGGAAATCTCTTCCCCAAAGCCAGGTTCCTTCTCTGGTGTTTGCACACCAGTGCCTTTTAGTTTTTCCCCTTCTCTCAGCATGGGGTTCTTAGGGGTCCGTTGTTTTAGGATCCTTGTTTTCAAAGCAGAAGGGAAGGGCCCAAATCTCTAACATATTCTCTTCCGGGGCTTCAACCTAGGGTAATGTTGTACCTGAGCCTGGTCACCCTCTTTGTGCTTGGCAGTGTGTTCCCCTTGTGCTCTGTTGAAAGTGTAGCTTTCTCCTTTCCCTCTTTCAGTCTCCTGTCAGCTGCTGAGATCTCCAGCTTGTTTGCTGTGTTTTTTTCTCAGACTCCAATAAATTGTCCTTGAGCTCTTTCTGTGTCTTTTAAAATTCTTTTATTTATGAGATCACGAACCTACAAAGGGAACTCTGTACCACTCATCCCCATGACATTACTACCTTGCCCCGTGGCTTTCTGCAGTTGCTACTTCCCTGATATCCTAAATGTTCTCATGTGTTTGTGTGGCTAACAATTTCATAGCCAGTAAATTATTTGAAGTAGGTTCTCTGTGTTAAAACAACTGATATGTTTCCTGCTTGGGCTCTAATTGATGCAGAAGGTTTTCAGCTTTATTAATTATTGGACTTTTCTTGCCTTAAGTTGTATACATTACAATGTAAAGGGCAGTGTGAGAAAGTTTCCATTTTCCACAGCCATCATTACTTATTATCAGTCCTCTAAATTTTTAACAAGTTTGTTCATTTACATGTCTATGTATAAATGTGCATAGATATTTCAAAATAGAACGATGTAATATGGTATCTGTGTGCACAAACCATTTTTAAAATTTGTGTGTGTGTGTGTGTGTGTGTGTGTGTGTGTTTATGGGTGAGTGGGTACATGTGCTATAAAACTCACATGGAGATCAGGACAACTTTGTAGAGTCTGTTTTCTTCTTCCACTTGTATGTGGATTCTGGGAATTAGACTCAGGCTTCCAGGCTTGTACAGCAAATGCTTTTACCTGCTGATCCACCTCACTGACCCATAAAACCATTTTTATGTGAGCAATATTCCTTTGGTTTTACATACATAATCACTATCTTAATTCTCTTCATTATTTTCTACACTTAACCCAGGATCATTTTCCTCTTGAAAAATTATTATACAGACTTTACTCTCATACTGTCATGAGTGCTACACCAGAAACATAGACATATTTGTCTTTCTCCCCTGCCAGAATTTGAGTAATAAATTCACAAGTTTTATATATATATTGTTTTAAAGTCTCATAAGTTAGCCAAATATACATTTAAGATGGCATATTTTTGCTGCATATGGAAATTTAGTTGTCCAAAATCCTAGTGGAACAAAATTATGTCAGGTGGGCTCAGTGGTCCGCATCCATAATAACTGGATGTCATAATCATGATTTTTTTCTTTCTTTTTTGTTATGTTTTTTCAAGATAGGGTTTCTCTGTGTAACAGCTTTGGCTGTCCTAGAATTTGCTTTGTAGACCAGGTTGGCCTCCCGAATGCTGGGATTACAGGCTTGCATCACCACTGCCTGGCTAATCATGATTTCTAATCTTGACACAGCATTAGGTATTGAGTAATGCAGGTTTTGCTAGGTATGGGCATAATCTTTAATTTTTTACTGCCTGTTCCTGCTCTTTTCCTCAGAGAATGCCCTGTGACTTCCTTATAATTTTATGTATAGGTCTTAGTATGATAGTTCAATGAGCTATGTGTTGTTTTCAGTTCTCAAATAGAAATAGTCCTATGAATTTTGGTGCTTTCTGTTTAGATACAGGAGCCCTGATTGTTCCTGTTTTGTCTTTTGCTATCCTTGGTATCTGTCTGTCACATACCACCCCCCAAATGTCAAGAAGTATCTAGTTCACTTTTCTTTTTATTCCAAATATTTTCATATTATCTTCTCATATTATATCTCAATCTAGATCTGTCCATTTCAGTATTCCCAAACCTTGTGCAGCTTCTTACATTCCAGCTTGATGCTATTGAGTCCTATAGGGACAGGACTCTTTATGAGTGGTTAGTTGTGAGCCTTAGTAGCTACCTCATGGTTTAAATTTGGATTTTCTTCAAAGGAAGTAATCTGATTAATTAAAATTTGTTTTTTGGGTTTTTTTGTTTGTTTTTGTTTTTGTTTTTCAAGACAGGGTTTCTCTGTATAGCTTTGTGCCTTTCCTGGAACTCACTCTGTAGCCTAGGCTGGCCTTGAACTCACAGAGATCCGCCTGTCTCTGCCTCCCGAGTGCTGGGATTAAAGGTGTGCACCACCACCAACCAGCTTAAAATTTGTTTTTAATTTTATGTGTATCAGTGTTTTGCTTGCATGTGTGCCTGTGCATCACATGGCTGCATGCTACTTACAGAGGCCAGAAGAAGGCATCACATCCCTTGGGACTGGAGTTACAGACAGTTGTGAGCTACTATGTGAGTGCAAGGGAGGAAGTGTGTCACTGGGGGTTGAGCTTTGAGGTTTCCTATGCTCAGGATAGTGTCTCAGTCAACTTTCTGTTGCTTGCAAGATATAAGCCTCTAAGATACTACAGCACCACATCTGCCTGCATGCTGCCATGCTCCTCGTCATGATGATAATGGACTGAACCCCTGAACTGTAAGCAAGCCACTCAAATTAAATACTTTCCATTATAAGAGTTGCTGTGGTCATAGTGTCATTTCACAGCAATAGAAACCCTAAGACACTCAGCCAAAGACTCACTGCATTGTGAGTAGGCTCTGCAGCTCTTCTGGCCCCAAGGTCTTGTAGGTGATCCAAGTTGAGTTGCTGTACTTAAAAGGAGCCGAGTTGCTAAGTTCCCCTGAAGGAGAAAAAGAAGGGGAAGGGTGTTTGATGCAGAAGTACAGAGAACCCAGTTTTGTGTTTTAAAGACTTGATCTTTGAAGGGAATTAGGGTTCTTGTCTGATCTTCTCTCCTTGGCTTTCTTCTCTGAGTTATAGTACCAGCCATTGTCATTGATGTTATCTTGTCTTCTTGGTCACTCTCAGATGTGTTCATATTGTTGCTATTGGCAATCTGATGGTTGGTGTTTTGGTTGCTGTCATGACATTCCCAGGCACTTCTCTAGGTGTGTGTGGGGTGGGGGCAAAGCCGGAAGCAGCAATACTGCGGCTACAATTGGGGCAAACACACTCCTTGCTCTTTTACTGCTTGAAAACCTGTCCAAAATGTCTAAACTAGGCTGGTCCATGATCTCAAAATCCTTCATGCTCTCAGGATCCACATCATCCAGAAAGAAGTAGCCACATTTGACAGCCTGGTGTGCCTCAAAGCAGAATCCTAAACAAGAATCCTCAACCAGGTCCGCATATTATCTCCTGAGCCTCTAGTCTGTTGTTATCTAGGCCGGACAAAGACATTTTCTTAGTTTTCATTTGTAAACTCTTCTGGAGACGGCCTCTGACTGCTCACATCACAGCCAACTGCAACAGAGCGCAGCCCGCTGCAACAGGGCTCACTCAGGGGGCTGCACTGGGGCTCAGGGATGAGTCCTCTGGCGGTGGTGGTGGCTGTGGCTGCTGCTCCGGAGCCCCATGTCTGTAAGTCCATCCTCACCTCTCCCCGGGCCCAAGGGGTGAGGGTCGGGCTACTACCCCTCACTTCCCTCCTTGCCTCCTAACTGGGAGGCCATGGCTCCTTTTCCTTCTTTCTCCTTCCATCGACGCCCCCTCCTCACCTCACCCCGACCCCTATATCTATATGTTCATTAAGGCTCTTGTGTTTGCTACTCCGTTCTACAGGTATACTAGCTAACAACTGAAGGTTGTTGCTGCATGAAGTTTGTCCTCAGGTTTTACAATTTTGAGCTAGTGTATTCCTCTCCTATGTTTTGAGGCGTTCCTTGTCCCTGGTTATAATCCGTCACTCTCTTCCTGATGATAACTGACCTTGCCACATGGATCCTACCCCAAGGATCATTAAAATTTCATGGATCTTCAGGATGGGATGGTCCCAGGCAATCATCATTACATTGTTTGTGCTACCAGTCATGATAGTATCTGCAGTTATATCTCTAAATGCTTTAATGCTGTTTGCCCGTGTGACTATCCTGAGCAATTTAATTTTTGTTCTGTTTTGTTGAGAAATGTGATGTCTGTGGGCCACATGGCAACCTTCAGCTTTTCTGGTTGGCTACTGCTCTCATATTTTTGACCTGTTGAGTTGCCCCACGGTGTTTGCACCCTACATGTCATGCCACTGCTATTTGTCCACTGTGTTTTCAGTATAGCACATTGGCTCCGAGTATGCTGCTCTCCAGTTACCTAAATCCCTCCTCATTAACCATAGAGACAGTGTCATTGGCTTGTTTAGGCCCCAGTAGAATCTACTTACCCACATTAGTTTCCATTATGGTTGATGCTGATCCTCCATTAGCAAACTGTACAGTTGGGGTTCTGTGTTTAAATTATTACATTTATTTATTTATTTATTTATTTATTTATTTATTTATTTATTTATTTATTTATTTATTTAGTGTGCACTTATGTGCATGTGCCAGAACATGTGTGGAGGTCAAAGGACAATTTTGGGGAATCAGATCTCCTGCCACCTAGGTCCTGGGGATTGAGCATAGGTTGTCAGGGTAAAGCATCTTCATCCACTGAGCCATCTTTTTTGCCCTGCCTTTGTTTTTTTAATTTTTAGTTTCATATAGCCCATGCTGGGCCTGAACTTACTATATAGTTGAGGTCTTTCTTCCTTTACTTCCTGAATTCTGGAATTACAGGTGTGTGCCACCATGCCTTGAAACTGTAGGGTGTTTTTAACATCCCAAAGGCCCCCCCCCCAATGTGTTATATTTATTTACTGTGTTGGGGAGTGTAAGCCACAACACACATGGGATGTTTGGGGACAACGAGCTTGTTCTTCCCTCCCAGGGATTGAACTCAGGCTTAGCAGGCTTGGCAACAAGCACCTTTATCTTATAAGCCATATTGTTGCTGGCTCTCCAACTTTCTTTTTTGAGATAGGGTCTCCTGTTGCCTAGGCTGGCCTCAAACTTGCTGAGGACAACCTTGAACTTCTGTTCTTCTTGCCTCTACCCCATAATTGCTGGGATTACAGGCATGTGCCACCACACCCAGTTTTCATGTGTTCTGGAGATCAAACTCAGGACTTTGTGCACACTCGGTTATAGCACTCTACCAACTGAGCTTTACCCCCATGTTCAAAGCAGAGATTTTGACCTCTACAAGCTCCTTACCCAGTAGCAGAGTCCACATTAGCCTCACCTTGCTGATTAGCTAATAGCCATGAATTATAGGGTCTTTAACTCTTATAAGCCCAATCACAAACGTAGTAGTGCCCTAGCACTGAGCATGCTCTGTACTTCACAGCCTACCACTGCCTATTAGGCTCAACATGTCAATTGCCTCATATTTCTTAGTTAAAATATCTGTCTCATGTTTCTTTCCTTCCTTCTTTTTTCTTTTCCTTCCTTCTTTCTTTCCTTCCTTCCTTCCTTCCTTCCTTCCTTCCTTCCTTCCTTCCTTTTTTCCTTTTTTCCTTTTTGGTTTTTTGAGACAGGGTTACTCTGTAGCCCTGGCTGTCTATAGATAATGTTGCCCCTGCCTCCTGAGTGCTGAAATTAAAGTGGGATTAAAGGCGTGTGCCACCATCTCTCGGTTTCCTTCCTTCCTTCCTTCTCCCCCCTCTCTTTCTCTTTGAGACAGGGTTTCTCTGTGTAGCCTTTTCTGTTCTGGACCTACCAGGCTGGCCTTAACTCAGAGATTGGTATGCCTCTGCTTCCCAAGTGCTGGGATCAAAGGCAAGCGCCACCACCGCCCAACTTTCATGTTTCTTAATTAAAACATCTTCCATTGTATATTAGTGTTTCTGCTATGTCTGCTAAACTTATATATAGGTACATGAAAACTTAGCCCAGTGTCTACCTACTCCACATTAACCTTTAATCTTTCTTTGCTGGTGAGCTATTAGCTACTACTAAGTGTAGTTTGTCTTGGGACTGAGGAGATAGCTCCATTAATAAAATGCTTGCCTCAAAAGCATGAGGAGGACCTGAGTTTGATCCCTAACACTCATATAAAAGACCAGCCTGGCTCTGTCTCTTTCTCTTCCTTCACTCTTGTCCTCAGCAACTGGTCTCTGCTCCCTTCTCTGCACCCTTCCCTCCCCTCAATAAGCCTCCCACTTGGGCCCTGTTGTATGGTGTGACTTCCTCCCTGCTGGTTTAAAAGTACGTTTGGTGCCTAGACTTGGATAGGCTCTCCTGGCAGTCTGAGACATGCCGGGACCCTGAACCTGGTCCACCGGTGACAGCCCCACTTTTCCCACCCAGCGGATCGCTGGGACTCTCCATCCAACACAGAGGATTGAGCCTGGACGGTGAATCAAATCAGCCAGCTACCCCAGGATGTGGCCAGCACCCCAGCTTTCTCAAGTCCCGCAAAGATGATTGATGCCCCGCAGGCCAGCAGGAAGCAGTCTCGAGAACACAGAACACGGCACCCTCATCCCCGCCTCACCTGCTACCCTTTCTAACTCTTCACCTTTTTAGAGTAAACAAAAGGGAAGAATGTTGGCATTCAGGCATCTGTACTGGCCTGCCCTCAGGGTCCTGTCAGGCATTCTCTGTTTCCTTATAAAAGGCGGGCCTTGTACACCTCCCGTCTCTCTCTTCCTTCCATCTCATCCCCAGGTACCAGTCTCTGTTCCCTTCTCTACCCCTTCTCTCCCCTCCTCTCAATAAACCTCCCATGTGAGCCCTGTAAAAGAAAAAAAAGAATAAAAAAAAAAAAGACCAGCCTGGTGGTGTGTACTTGTAATATTAATGCTGGGTTTGATCCCTAAGACCCACATGGTAGGAGAGAACCAACTCATGCAAATTGTACTCTGAGCTCCATAGATGCACCATGGCACAGGTGCACTCATTAACAAGCAACACACACACACACACACACACACACACACACACACACACACACACACACAAACACACACACACAAATGAAATAAAATTTTTTTAAATTGAGGACTGACATCACAGAACTTTTCTCCAATGACTTATGGAAGCAGATGCACAGATCTACAACCAAACACCAGGTTGAGCTCCAGGAGTCCAGTCAAAAAGAGAGAAGAGGGGTTCTATGAGCAAGTGCATCAGGATCATGATGGAAAAACCTGCAGAGATGACCAAACCAAACTAGTGGGAACTCATGAAAGTTGGATCAATGGCTGTGGAGCCTGCATGGAACTAGACTAGGCCCTCTGCATGGAGAGACAGTTGTGTAGCTTGATCTGCTTGGAGGGCCCCCTTGCAGTAGGATCAGAATCCATCCCTGGTGCATGAGAAGGCTTTTTGGAGCCCACTACCTATGATGGGATGCCTTGTTGCAGCCTTGAGGCAGGGGGAAGGGCTTGGACTTGCCTCTACTGGATGTGCCTCCCCATGGGAGGCTCTTGCCTTCTTGTGTGTGGGGGGAGTGCTGGGTGGGATGGGAGGGGGAGGGGGAGGGGGTGGGAAGAGGGGAGAGGGGGATCTTTGATTGGTGTGTAAAATGAATGAAAAAAATTTTCTTAATAAAAAAAATTGAGGACTGACATCAGAGGTTGACCTCTGGCCTCCATACACATGCTCACCTAGACACATGCTGCACACATACACATAAAACAGTCTTTATCACACTATTAGCCCTTTTACCCCTATATCTCTGCATATGCTGATGTTTACTTGTCCCCTAGAGCAGTGTACTAACCTCAGGAACCCCAGCCTTCATTAGAACTCACCATGGTAAAAACAAAATAAAACAATAACAACAACATCTCGTCATGGTTTCAAATGATGTCACATTAGCCACCTCAGCATGATGCTTTTGACCCTCATGAGTCCTTATAGAGATGTCTGCTGATGCTTGATCAGCTACATCACTCTGTTGAACCCTCTCTAGTCACCAGAAGAGTGGCTTTGGTCTCTGTGATGATGCCTAGATTCTGATGGTCCTATACTGGGATTATGCTTGTCTTTGTTTGGGGGAATTTTTTTGTTTTGTGTTTTGGTTGTTCTTTTAATGCCTGGCTGTTTTGTAGTCCTACTCACTATCTTTCATATACAATGACTGTTATGGCCTCTTTAGAAGTTTCACGATCTTAAAAAAAGTGTGTGTGTGTGTGTGTGTGTGTGTGTGTGTGTGTGTGTGTGTAACATGAAAGCAGGAGGGGGACTATTTGAGGGAAGGAAGGGGACCAGACAGCACAGAGGGAAGGTGCTTTGGAGGTAACATGAACAAAATGGTATTTATGTATGAAAATTCCATAAAACCCCAATATTTAATATATTCTTTAAAGCAATGATAATAAAAAAGAATATCACTGCATCTTACTACAAATCAGAAAGACTCCAAATTAAATGGAAAATAC